CTCCTGTGGAACTTGGACAGACTTTAAGATGTAGCCCTCAAACCAAAAACTTAGAGTTTGTTCTTGGACCATTAGCCCGTTCTGCTCTGGGCCATATCTTGGCTCGTTACGTCCCCCGCATGCCCAGGTTCTCCAGCTGGGACATTCACCCAAGGCAGTAGCCCAGGTAAGACTGACTGAGAAGTTGTGGATGCTCCATCCCTGGAAGTGTCCAAGGCCAGGTTGGATGAGGCTTTGAGCAACCTGGTGTAGTGGAAGGTGTCCCTGCCCATGGAGGGGTGTTGGAACTAGATGATCTTTGATGTCCCTTCCAACCCAAACTGTTCTGTGATTCTATGGGGCAGTTAGAATGGTAAGCTCTTGCCAGCAACTTTTTCTAGAAGCTTTTTGGATTTTTTTTTTTTATATTTTCGAGGCTTTATTTGGGCTTTTTGGCTGTGCCCCTTCTTTTTCCCCTTGCTCTCTCTGTGACCATGGGGTCAGAGCAGCTTTTCTGCCTTGGGGCATTGCAGCACCCCCGGGTGCTCACGGAGATGGACATTGAGTCTCACAAGGGTTTGCCTGTGAGGGTTTGCTGCCCGCCCAGGAGGGTGATTTATTTGGTCATTTAACAGCAAACAGCACAGATTGAATTTCCAATGTTGTTTATCATTCCGGAGTGTAAACCAGTGAAAATGGTAGTTAATTGAGTTAAATTGGGGTAACAACCTTACAGACACTTTGCTGCCGCACGCCGAGGCCCTGTTTGCTGCAGATTGCTCTTTGCTGCCAACGATCTGCTCAGAGGGATTCACCAAAGTTTCAGGGAGCACGTTTTAGCTTAGGTTTGCTCCTGCGTGGGCCAGCGGTGCTGCTCACCTGGTGCATGTTCACCTGCTGGAGCTCAGGATACGGCTTACAGCACCCGGACCAGGATGGGGAACTGCCACGATAAGTGTGGGACTTGGGAAGGGGAGGGGATGTGCCCCCCATCCAATGGACCCATCCCCTGGGCAGCACTGATGCTCGATGGTGCAGCAGCATTTTCCTTAGACAAGGTCCTGTTTCCCATTTTGGGTTTCCTAAGCATTATTGATGGATCAATAGTGAAAACCCTTCCTGACCCTGGCATGTGTGTGAAGGGGAAAAAAATCAATAATGGCACGTCCAATCTGTTAGTCTGTTTACACTCTTCGAGATCACTATTTATACAGGGATTTTAACGTTTCCATTAATGTTCCTAAGAGGAGCCTTGGAGGAGCGGAGAGGTTGTCACTCCTTGATTTGAGGGGGAATTTAACTCGGCTGCGCTCCACGGACTCTCGTTTGCTGGATAGCATGAGCTTTCCCTGACTCCTGCAAAAAATCTCAGCCCATGATCCTAGTGCAGAGATGGGGACAGAGCCCTGCCAGCCTGTCCCAGGCATTTTTGGGATGGGGGACTCTCAGCTGGGCAACAGGGAGGAGTGCAGGGTACAACCCAGCTGCCGCAGCCCCGTCCCTGCTGCAGAGGGCTGGGACAGGGATGGGAGGATGGATCAGACCTCAGCTTTGTGGGAAGCCCAAGCTGGGAAGATGCTCAGCTGTGGCAGTAGCAGCCCGAGCAGAACTGGAGTCCAGAAGGAGACGGTGCTGGTGTCGGCGCAGCGGCTGCGTTGGCGGAGAAATTGCCGCTGAGCTGCGAAACATCGCATGTGGGCTGGATCTTAGGAGAAAGATGGAGCGGAGGTGGTGGTATCCTGGGAGGACGGTAGTGCTTGTTTTAACTGCCTGGAGGAAAGCGTGTCTTCTCCTGCTGGAAAGGTCCTTGTGCAGCGAGAGGAAGGGGCTGTGTGCATGGAGGTGGTGTTTTGGGGTCTCGGCTGCTCTGCTGAGCTGCAGGAGGGCAGGTCGGAGGCAGTTGGCTGGGTCAGCCTGCAGGGTCACTTGGGAAGAGGCTGATTTGTGCCGTTTTCCAGGAACAGGGACATGCGGGTCTCTGTGGGCCACAGGTCCAGGGACCTGACTAGTGCTGGGGCAACTGGAGTGAAAACAGATCCTCTATGCATGCCCCAAAAGCTGCCGTTCACAGGCTTCTCCTGTGTCCTGGACTCATAGATGGGCACCAGGTCGTGCTTTCCTGTTGCACATCCGTCCTGGAATGACTTGAAATGCCCATAGCATCCCGTGCTCCTGCCATCCCAATGGGAGAGGAGGTTTGCTGCTGAGCCGTGGGGGCTGGGCTGCCCGGAGCACAGGGAGATGCAGGAATCCTATCTGGTGAGCTACTGCTCTGATCCAAGCTGTGACGTGTCCAAGGGAAGCAGTAGCAGAGTCCATTCTGCCTCCAGGAAAGTAATCTTCCTGTTTTTAATGATTGCTGGCCTCATAGAAGGGGGAAAAAAAGCTGATGGCGCCGGGAGATCGGTGAGCATCACAGCAGGAACGGCCGGGCGAAAGGGGTTGGTGTAGTTGTCCATCCCTGGGTGGTAAGCCCATGGGAGCTGCAGGAACATAGCTAACTAGGGGCCTTAAAGCATTAGGTTGCAGGATCCATTCGAAACCTTCCCCCGAGCATCTGGGTGCTATGATAGATGGATGTACACCAAGAAAGAAAACACCATTCCCTGTGTAAGAGCAACCCATTGCATTGCTGAAGAGCTGCTGTGAATGTGCCTCCAGCTAAATGTGTATGAGATGTAGCCTCACTACTTGCGAACAACACTAGTTTACCCTTATCAGCTGCTGCTGCTTTTTTTAAAAAAAATTTTTTTTTTTTAATCAATGAGCTTTCATACAACCTTTCTCTCCAGGGAAATGCAAGGAAGGAGATAAAGTGACAGCAATGTAGGGCTGCGATAATGGAAGGCAGCACTGAGCAGATCTGTGATTAGAGAAAGACTGGTCCTCTGCAAGGGGAATTTGCAAGACATTAAGCACTTATTATTTTAACCCATTGCATGCCTTTGTCAATACTTTGCTCTCTTCCTGAGCTGAGACGTTTTGAATGCATCAAACAGGCAGGACAGATTCCCATAGGTCAGGAAATCTCTCTGCTTTTTGGTGAGATCTCTCTCTATCTGCCTGGTGTCTGAAGGCTGTGGGAAGACTGATGGTCCCATTGGCCATGTCATGCTGGTGCGTATCAAGAATATCTTCATCTGTTTTATGCCCCGGACCGAGGTGACCCCTTTGCCCACAGCTCAGAGCTGGGGTAGGTGGATGTGTCCCATGGCCGTGATCAGGACTATAAAGGGGCAGATGAGAACAGGCTGAGCAGAGAGGCAGCTAAGAGATGTTGCAGAGCGTACATACTGGAAACGTTCAAGGTCAGGTTGGATGGGGCTTTGAGCGACCTGATCTAGTTGGAAGATGTCCCTGCTCATTGCAGGGGGGTTGGACGAGATGACCTTTAATGGTCCCTTCTAACTCAAACCATTCTATGATGCAGAAGGACCTTGACCTGCGCTGGCAGAGCTCTACCTGCGTTTCAGCAGCATCTCCACAAGCTCCCACCTGTGGCCCCAGCCCCGGGTACCCCCACTGAGCACCGAGGCCATCGGTATTGCAGTGCAGCTGGCCCAGCACCCAGAGCCACCCCTCCATCCCCGAACCACCACCTTCCCCTTCCCAGCCTGCCAGAGGCTTCCACATCAAAAAGGAGAAGTCAGGAAACACCTTCTGAACTTCAGGTTGTGCCTATCACCCTGGTGCCGCTGAACTTGGCTTCTCTTGCTCAGGAGATGCTGCTGTGGGACCAGTTCTGCTCTGAATGTGTCCAGGTTTTAAATGAGTGCCCCCGTCGCAACAGACCATCCAACATGAGCCCCCAGCCCCTCTCGTAGCATCTTCATCTCTTTGCCTGTCATTCCTTAACACACATGTGCCAAAACGCTGGTGTTGCAGGAGACCAGAATGGCAGCTTTGCTGAAACTGGGGGAAAATTGTTGGAAATAGGAACTCAGTGTATGGCTGCACCTTCGATGCTGAGGCTGTAGCATTGCAGGCATCTATTCATGGGTTTCCCAGAGGGGTGCTGGGTTCAGCATCAGGGGACAGAACCATGGGAGGGAAACAAGCTGCCAGAGGCAGCCAGCACAGCAAGCTGGGGAGAGGTGCTGCTGCTCAACCTCGTGTTTAGGGCTGAAGAACACAGCGAGGCACTTAGCTGAGCTTGCAAATGTGCTGACCTGCCTGCTGAATTCAGTGACATGAAACCAACAGTGTGGAGCACCTAAATATGCTTCAAAACCTGACTCGTAGCACTGTGCGGGTGCACGTCCCTGTTGGGTGATGCTGAGTCTGGGCAGGATTCCCAGGGCAGCTCCGAGGGGCTCTGGGGACACCCCCTTCCTGCCTTCCATCCCTCAGGTTCCCTTCCTGGAGCTGGCAAAGCCCTGGCTGGCGGAGGAGACAGGAGGAGTGAATTCCTCAGTGCCTCCTAAGTGTGCAGACACGAGAGGGAACAGAGGAGGTGGCTGGTAGAAGCTGGTAAATGGTCTTTGCAAGGAAAAGATTTATATTGCATATCATTTCCCACCTTTTTTTTTTTTTTTTTCCTCTTTTGCATAACTTGTAACAAATGCATGTTTCCAGCAGGGCTGGAATAGACACGTCTGTCTTTTTATCTTGGCTGCACCCACTCTATTATAGCAGAAATGAGCAGAGCTATTCAGCTAATTTCTCCACCTGGCTGCTCGACCCTGGCTAACTCTTCTCATTTTCTATTCTGCGAGATGAGCAGCGCGGCTGGTTCCAGAAAGCTTGTTTTCTTGGGGGCAGTGCGATAAGGACGATTGTTATTAAGAGGCATGGAAACAAACAAAAGCATCTGACAGTTGCTCTCGGCCTAATTACCTCTAATTAAATAAAAACAGAGCTGCCCATCAGCGGGGGAGAGCAGCAAGCAGAGCGATGCGGGTGATGGCCGGCGCTGGTGCCCCTCGTTGTGGCTTCGGGGCTGGTTGGCAAAGACCCACCGCCGAAGGCGCCGTGGCGGTGCTCTGACGTGGTGCTCACCAGCCTTGCACTCTTTTTCAGCTTGTGGCAAGCTGACGGGAATAAGTGATCCAATCACAATTAAAACCTCGGGGTCCAGGTTCGGATCGTGGATGACGGACCCTCTCGCTCCTGAGGGAGAGAACAAGGTAAGACCGTGACGGCTTCATCCCTATGTTCCTACCTCCACCGACACGACCGAGATCATTGAAAACTCATTACATGCAAGCACTGAAGCCCAGGTATAGCCCTGTGAAACCTGTGGAAGGTCTTAATTCATCTGAAGGGGCTCTGCTGGCCTCCTCTGCAGCAGGAGGTGGCTGAGGACCCCACAGGGAGGGAGGATGAGGAGGGGCTGAGAAGCCCTGTGCAGTGGTCCCTTCCTGGGGCAGGTGAAACTCAGTGGTCTCGGAAGTGTCACCGTGAGGTCTGTGCCCCCGGTGGGAGGGAAGAATCAAATAATTGGGTTTCTCATCTGGGTTTGGCAGCTGGGAGGCAGCTGGGGCCGAGCAGAGGGACCCATGGTCCTGGTCCCTGCTGCTCTTCTGCTGCTGAGTGCCTCCAATAATGTCGTCTGACTCCATTTGTCCTCCATCCTCCACCTTCACTGTTGTGAGGAATTAACTGACTGCAGCCGGAGAGAGATTTGGTTTGCTTTGTTTTGGTCTTTTTTTTTTTTTTTTCCCCCATTCAGACCATTCAGTTTTGATCCCGAGGAGGTAGGAGGCCAATAACTGGCTGAAAATCAATCCAGGCTTCCCATGACTGATGGAATGGAAAATATCTCGAGTGTTTGCTGAGGGTTTGCAGGCAGCAAACCAAAACAAAAAGCACAGAGCTTGGCTGCATGGTAATTCCCTCCTTCGTGCAGCATCCTTCATCAAAGGATGAAGGCACCAGCAAGGGCTGCATCAGGGCAGCTGTTTTGAGAGCTCTGCCCCGTGATGGCCTTTCTGTAGCTAAGGGAGGATGAGGGATGCTCTGGAGAAGCCGCCCCTGGGGATGGCTCCGTTTGCCTGTGGATGTGCAGCAATGAAGCAGCAGCGACTTGAGATGTTGGGCTCTTTCCTTCCAGCAGCCAACTGGTTGGCACTGGTTCCCCAATACGACACCTCCGTGTTTTACAGTTATTAAACTAAATTTCACCTATAGCCCTGATATGACCCTAATGATGAAGTGGGATGGGAGGGCTCTCCCCACATCACATCTTGTGTTACTCAAGAGAGGGGACAGACTTGTCCCCTTCGGGCTGCGTTCGCTGCATCCCTCAGCACTGACGTGATCTACACATCTGTGAAGGAAGAGTCAGGCCTGTTGCAGCTGAAGCTGGTTGATCAAATGCTAAAGATCTTCCCGTGTCTTCAGAGAGTTTTGTCTCACCAGTATTTTTTAATATTTTTTTTTTACCCTTGCCTTTTTCTGCAGTGTATTTTTGTCGTGAGAGTAGACAAGCAGTTTTCCCTGAACTGGAGCTCAAGCTTCACAGGCGTGTGTGTGTACATAAATACACAAATCTACTGGGAATTTTATTAGAAACACACAATCAAGTGAACTTCGTTGGCTACCCGGCAGAGGGGGAAACTGGTGATGGGGAGAGATGGGCAGTTTATCATACCCATCTCATGTCGCCAAGGCCCAGGAGGTCTTTGGTGGTTTGTGTGGTCATTTGTTCATGTCATGAAATCGTTGAATGCAACTGGGGAAAATTGGGAGTGTTGCAGGAGCAGCGAGGCAGGGGTGGGTGCTTGACGCTGGAATTGATGTGTGTCGGCAGGAGAAGGTTGCTCAGAGCCAGTCAGTGTGATGAGACGTTGCTGTCCATCGATCTCCACTTCTCCAAAGCGTGAAATGCCCTTGGGTCCTGCCACCTTGCAGCACGACATGGGGTTCTGCTCTTCTGGGCTCCTCTTTGTCTCAAAGCGGAGCGCAATGCATTGGCGTGAGCAATTTTGTAATGCCAAGTAATGAAACGGGAGCAGCAAAGAGACAATCAGTTTTCTGGTTTTTTTTTTTTCTATAATTTCCCAAGCTGTTTTAGTTGAATGCAGGCATTTCATTAAATAAGGAATTCTCTCCAGCACCACGTCTGACAGCAGAAGCTCTCCCAGGCTGCTGGCACTTCTCTGCCGTGGGCCCAGGGCACTGCATGGTTTTTCTCTGGTGCTTTTGCAGCCATCCTCAAGCCCACAGTGGAGGTGTGGAGGTCAGAGCCACTTCCACACGCTCATTCCCCACCTCTGCAGTGTTTCTAGGGAGGTGACAGTGGAAGGAGGGCTGAAGTTCCCAACAAAGTTTTTGCAGACCCCACTCGGCCTTTCCAATAGAGCAGCCAAAAGCAGTTTACAAGCACCCACCGTGTGTAAATGTTTGTCTGCTCTTCTAAGGGACCCTGGAGACAGCCCTACTGCAGAGAAGATGCCATCAGATTTTGCAAGGGCTTTGCAAAAGAAGTCTGCATTACAATGTAACCCAAATCTGCATCCTTAAAGGCTTCCCTCTTGCTATTTAATTTACTTTTTCTCCTTCCTGAGCAGTTTCTACAGAAAGCAGCTATCTTATTTTTAGGTAACAACTGTGTACAGAACACTCAATGGCTGGATATTTCTTCTTGGTATTAACTGCAGGGCTTGGCCATTTGCCTCAGAACTGGTTTCATATGACAAAAGCTTTTTTTTTTGAGGAGTCTAGACAGTGTCCCTAGTGAACTGGTACTTAAATGATGATGTAAAATCTCTGCCTCCTCTACTGATAGCAAGATTTTGATGTCTTTGCCTCTTACGTTTTAGCGGCCTTGGTTTCAGCTTTTGATGCAGAAGTGTCTGATTTTAAAACCAATATGGACTTTGCCTGAGTTTCCTTGACAATGAGGGATTGCATCCATCGCTTCTGCGTGCCAAATTAATCGAGTTGTGCGCAGCCGCCGGTATCGTTTACTGAGTGCTGCCACGATGGGGCTTACGGGAAGCGAAAGTGGCATCAATGTAACATGCAGAGTTTAGCCAGGGAAAAGATGTTAATTGCCCTCTGGAAGGATGGTGCTGGTCATGGCATTCCCAGGGAACCTCTTAAGCTCCCAGGTTCCCAGGGAGATACTAGATTACCCCCCAGGAAAGCTTTGCTATCCAGTTGATTTCTTGGCTGATCTGAGGTTCCAAAAATTGGGTTTATTTCTGGGCGCAGGTGGCAGGTGTTGGGTACATCGTTTTCCAGCGGGTTGGATTCCTTGCTCTGGATTTCACTCCCAGCTCAGTTTCTAGGGTGATGTGCAAAGGGCTCAGCAGGTCTCCGCTGGTTTCTAACCCCACGTGTTTCTGTTGCTCGCCCAGGTCTGGTACATGGACAGCTACCACAACAACCGCTTCGTGCGTGAATATAAATCCATGGCAGATTTCATGAATACTGACAATTTTACCTCTCACCGTCTCCCTCACCCGTGGTCAGGCACTGGTCAAGTGGTCTACAATGGCTCTATCTATTTCAATAAATACCAAAGCCACATAATTATCAGGTTTGACTTGAAAACAGAGACCATTCTCAAGACTCGCAGCCTGGATTATGCCGGCTACAACAACATGTACCACTACGCCTGGGGTGGCCACTCGGACATTGACCTCATGGTGGACGAGAACGGGCTGTGGGCTGTCTACGCCACCAACCAGAACGCGGGCAACATTGTCATCAGCAAGTTGGACCCCAACACCCTGCAGAGCCTCCAGACCTGGAACACCAGCTACCCGAAACGCAGCGCCGGGGAGGCCTTCATCATCTGCGGCACGCTCTACGTCACCAACGGCTACTCGGGAGGCACCAAGGTGCACTACGCCTACCAGACCAACGCCTCCACCTACGAGTACATCGACATCCCCTTCCAAAACAAGTACTCGCACATTTCCATGTTGGACTACAACCCCAAGGATCGGGCCCTCTATGCCTGGAACAACGGGCACCAAATACTTTACAATGTCACCCTCTTCCACGTCATCAGGTCTGACGAGTTGTAGTCCATCCTTGTTTAGAAACTGATTTAGAAACAAAACAAAAAAAAAAAAGGGAGAAGCAAATTTAAAAACAGAAATACTAATATCAAGGAAACACACTTTAAATAAGTAAATATATAAACAGCTGCCAAAATTAAGACCAACGTCGTGGAGGATTATTCAGCATAAACCTGACAGATCAGCATTACCTCTACATTTTAGAAGTCTGGCCCTGTGTTATAGACTCATGAATACCCATGTACTTGCAGCTGGAACTGCACTTAAAGAACCACTTCAGTTTTGGGTTTTGTTTCGTTTCTGTTCTGATAGCAAACCTATAGTACATACTAAAGAAGTAAGGCAATGACTGTTGAAAGTTTATCCTTGGGAGACTCGCTCTCTTCTGTATGTGGGTTGCATGGACATTTTCCCGACATCACGGTCAGCTGTGATGGATGTGTGATTTGTATTTCTAAGCAGAAAAAGCTGACCCGTGAGGAGCTCTCGCTGTCTGAACAAGACCTATCACAGGTTAGTTTTCTTCGCCTTCCATTGCAGCTACTGTCTCTCAACTGTGTTCTTGTCACTTAGATTAACTGTGCTGAGACCCGAAGTAGCTCATGGATCTGTGTCTTAGTAACTATTAAACACGATGGTTTAAGTATGTATTATGAACAAGTTGTTGTACCCATATTGTTTGAACTTATGTATTCAGCAAATATATTGTATAATGTATGTCTGTTATTTACCAGAGGTGGCAAAACTTTGTATGTCCAGTTTATGCAATGAATGTTGTAAATGCAATGATGTAGTTTGGATTAATAAATGATGGTTTTGTTTCTAAAAAGAAAAAAAAAGATCAGTGTTCACCCTTATACACAGATAACCAATTTCATGTTGATAATTACAAGAATATTCTCTTACTGTTATACTATCTACATAGCATTACGGTGGTTGGAAATCGCTTCTGTGGCAATTCTGTGGCATCAGATTCCCATGGGAAGCCCCGTTTATGGAAGTGTGAAGGTAATTACTTTTTTTTTAAGAGGAAAACTTTGTACTATCCACAGTTACCTAAGGAACAATAAAAATATTAGGAGACTTCCCTGCTTCGTTTATTGTCTCCTCTGTACGGGTGACCAAGTGTAGAGGTAACAGGAATTATTATGGGAGTTTTTTGGGTAATTGGAACAACCATCCTGACTTTCCTTACATCTTGAGTCAAGTAAGGATACCCTGATGGGTCCCTGGAGCTGGGAGTCGGAGGAGTCAGGGACTGAGAAGATGGGAGGTTTGGCTCCCTGCTCTGCAGGGCTCGCGCAGCGGGATTGCCTTCCCGCTTCCATTCGGAGCAGATACTGCTTCCAGGGGATAAAATCCTGCCTCTGCTCCTACAGCTGCTCTCGGCTGCGAGGGGAAGTGAGGGCAGCCGTGGCGACGCTGTGTCGCTGCCTGCGGACGCGGGCAGGGGCTGTGCTCGGCCCCCTCTGCACCCCGGGGCTGGCGGCGGAGCGGGATCGGGGGGTGACAGGAGGAAGTTGTGTTGCCACGTTCATTAGAGTTGCAGACACAGTGCCTCGGACTGCCAGGTGCAATTGGGTCGTTTTCCTTCTCAGATGCCTAGAGTGCTTCTCGTCCTATAGCCTTATGCTGGTAAAAATCCCCTTCCAGTAAAACTCTTCCATTTGACACAGCTGGGGCTGTGATGCTTATGATAACGAGCGGCTGTTATGCTGGGGCCTGAGCACCATCACTATCATCCTCTTTGTTTTTGCCAAAGCAGGGGCCTCACAGCGTTGCGGGATGCTGCGGTACCATAGCGAGCACCTCGAAACGATCCTAGGCACTTTTCCAGCTGAACGCTCCTAAAGCTCTCGATATTTTAAAGTTTAAGATGCTGGATGCTAACACACTCTTCTTGACTACCTTTAACAAATCCTGAACTTCCCCCTCTCCCCTTACACGCTTTCCCATGGCAGGGCTCATTTTACGGAGACTCAGCACCACCAGCAGCTTCATTCTGTTGCCAGTGTCTGGTGTGAGATATGGTGTCCCATCCCTCCACCCCAAGGAGAGCGGTATCCAGCAAGCTCCCCTGCCACAGCCGGCTCTGGGCAAAGGGATGGGACCCATCCCACCTCCGCTGCCCACCCACGGAGACTGCTGAGCTGGATCTAGTGGGCAGCTGGGATGCCTGGTACCCGTGCAAGCTGCAAAGGGCCAGCGCCGGTGTCAGTGCACCATTCTTGCCTCCTTTCCAAATAGAGAAGCGAGTGAAGGTGCGTAGCCCCGCCAGGAATGACGATTTTTCAGCCAAGTGGTGTGTGAACAGTTCTATTCGCTGATGAGGTTCAGCCTTCGGACTCGGCAGACGGATGCAGGAGGGCCCTCGGAAGGAGCACCGACTGCTGGGGTCAGGAAACTGAATATAAGCAACTGGTGACTGCTGCAAAAATGCACATATGGATTTCAACCTCTTGGCCTTAGCAGAAGGTCCCTGCTGGGCTCTTCAGCGGGAGGAGAGGGGAAAGAAAAAAAAATTGTGTCATGTAGTTTCCCAGAGCAGGATTAAACCACAAGCAATGAACCATCCTCCACACGTAGATGTTTGAGCCAGTTACACGGGTTTGAATAGTGCCCTGGGTCAGCACTCCTCTTACCAACACGTTGGCTGTATCCAGAATGGGGACAACTCTCTGAGGACTTATTTCTGTGCCACACACCGTATTTCCAGGGCTCTGGACTGCCAGGTTTGTGGAGATCTTTGATATACAGTGGTGGTTTTCCCTCCAAGAAGCTAAAGAAGAGGGCTAGAGACCCGTGGTGTAATTGGCAGCAGCAGTGATCTTCTTTTTTTGATGCACAAAAGAAATCTGTTGAGCCAAAAAGCTGTAAGGCACCTGCAGCCACTTCTGTTTAATTAACGTGTCTCTTCAGTGCAAACTCATTCGAGAGGAGTGCGCTGCTTTTTGTAGGATTTAGAGCTGGATCCAGCGACCGCTGCAACCAACGGGACGGGCACTGATGCCTGCAACAGGGGCTGGGCTTTTGCAGCAGCCTGAACCCGCTCCCTGCACAGCTCCTCCAGCGTGTCATGGTGATGCTCCTGCACAGCCTTGCCGTAATTTTGGATCGCGGCTGGTGTCAGCTGTACGACACACTGAGTTGCTTTTCCGTGAAGATTATTGTCCCAGCAGCTGAGCTTCACATACTCTGCTGTCCCACCTGCCCGCCACGGAGCTGGGCTGATGGCCCCGAGCACCAGACGGTTCTTCTCAAAGATCTTTGTAGGTGTTCATGGAGATTGTCCCAGCCAACCTGTCCAGCTCCGGGGGATGTTTCAGGTAGACCGGAGCACATGGCAGGACACCATCCAAATCCGCCAGCGCCTCGGCCAGGCACGCTGCCACGCTGAAGCACTGCCGTGTGCCAAATTACCCAACATCAGCTTTGTCATTAGGCGAGATTTGAGGACAAAAGAACACGTTTGCTTCAAAATATTGATCTGCAAAAACAAATTGAATTACGGAAAGGCAAAATAGTGCTGTTTGCTTTAGGGCAGAGCTACATTTAGATTCTAATTTTCCTAGTGCAATTCGTTTAATACAAGACTCAACAGCACAAAATGTCCTTGAACACAACAAAGACAGAGAAGATTTTCTGTAACATGTACCCGAAGTTAATGAGATGAGAAGTGCTTTAAGGGGTGTACCTTTGTCCTATTTGCCTGTAGTGCAATATTCTATAAATGGATGCCATATGGTCATATACTTAATGGTATGTATTACTTTTCAAATGGATGAGCCATTCAAAGACAAGTACGTCCCAAAGGATTGCTTTCTATAGCCTATGACTTAATTATTTGGTGCACGAGGCTTGCTGGTCCAAATTTAGTCGTGGGAGTCAGGGAGTTACTTCAGAGAAACATCTGACCGTACTTTTGTATTTGTGTTTGTGTGTTGTCAGTATTTTACAAGGGATTAATTCAAAAGTGCAATACTAGATATTTGTGAGGGGTTTGGTTTGATGCAGAACTAAGGTTCTGCTCCCAGCTCCGTAGCTGAGCAAGCAACTGGACAGATTGAATTTTGCATGTCACGACATTGCTGTCCTTCATCCTTTGCATCAGATGAACCAATGCTCTCCGGATGGTTCATATCTGCCTTGGGATCAATGAGGTGTCTGATGGGCTTTGCTCTCATTCTTGCAGTTGGCCAAACCATGGTCCTTTTCTGTCCTTTGCTCCAAGACAACCCCTTTCCTTGGAGCCCTCATGCCCACCCCAGAGGACGTCTGTGCAGCGTTTGGGCATGGTAGGACGCAAACACAGCTACATGCCTCCTGACAGCCCGGCTGTGTGTCTGACCAGCTCAGACCACGGGCAAAGCAGCTCCCTGCACTTCATCACCATGACGTTTCGGTCATTCTCCAGGCCATGTCTAGCAATGGAACTGGGGACAGCCTGCCTTTCGGGGCTGCCATATGGAAATGGAGCTCATCCTTCCCCCACGGGTGGCAAAGCCCACGGGGAGCAGCAGCGGGCTGTGAAACGCAGCTTGGAGCCGCGATCGTGCTTACACAGACTGTCCCGTTGAATTACATGAAGCTCACTCAGCACCTGGCCTAAAACCCAGGCGGAAATACCGACTGTTGCTTAGCATCATCACAACACCGAGAGCTAAAAATTTTCCTTTCTTTCTTTGCTGTTACTTCTCTGACCTTCATTAGTTCTGCAAGCACCGAATGCAGAGCCCATATGGAGACAGTTATCATAAAAAAATGAATCCTGGCCCCTTAATTAGCTCCTCATTATCTGAGAGCTCCATATTGAAGCATTAAGATGTTGCAAAGTAATTTGTTGAGTTTCCAATTAAAACTTTTGGAATTGTTGAGCCCTTTAATACTTTGTGTTTACAAATTGCCTTGGACCTACACCAATACACACATTTCCTTCACTGGGGAAATATGGCTGAGGAGCTGATAGTTATTAATAGAAAATCCTTGGTTTCAATAAAGTCATAAACCATGTCAATGAAGCTGCTCTTTTTGTACCTGATACAATAGAGATGACTCTCTTTGAATGAGTGCAGAGGGTAAGAATCATTAAGAGGGCAATTATAGGCTGATTTCTTAATAACTCCACTTTTACAGACCTGTAAAAACAAATGTACACATCTCCCTCTTTATATTAGTTTACCCTTTAATTTACTTATGTCCCTACCAGATGATAACAGGTGGTGTGACCCTCCGTTTTGGCAGGGGAGGGAAAGGAGTTAACAAGGCTCAACTCTTCCCAACAGCACATTGCAGGATCAAGCCCATCAGGAATAAATAAAAGCCAGATGGGCATGGATTATATTCACTGTATTGCACAAGCTGTTAGCTGGAGGAGTGCAGCTACCAGATACAAACACAGAAGAAAAATAGGTCTCTCCTATGAAGCACAGAGTCGCACAGACCTTGCCTGGACTCCTCAGATGTGTCTGTCACCTGATCCTGCAGAGGTGGGTGGCTGATTGACAAGCCCAGGGCTGAGTTGTTCCTAAAATCTGCAGAATCAGCACAAAATAAGTGGAGCAGCATTGGCTCCACTGACCTGGAGAGGGATTAAGTGATTTGCTTAAAACCTTTTAAAAATGGGTCCTGAGCCATTTGGAAGGGATGGTCATCTTCACATCACACCCGATGAGCGTAAAAGAGGGATGCAGATGGTCTGCAGCCCAACAGGCACCAGCCCACAGAGCTTCAACTAACCCCAAGCAGCTTCTTCCTCCTGTAGAACAGTCCCTGGGTCCGCTGGGATGAGCATGTCCATGGTCGTTAAGGACCTGTTGTATGATCATCATAGGAGGACCCGTATCACTGGGGTGAGATGACCAAGGGAAGTGGCTTTGGTGCACGGCAGAGCTGTAAGGAGGGATCTGTGCAAGCCACGACAAACAGCACCGCGCCGAAGCGACGTGCGCTGGGCTTTCGTTCCCAGCCTGAGCCGAGGCCTTGTGATAACACCGCGCTTATGTTCTTTGGGATGTTGTAACGCCATGAGCCGATCTGTATTGAACATGTCATTTGTATTCCCACGCTGTTTTTTAAGCAAATCTGTCA